AAAGGAATTTTTGCCTTTCCTTACTCATTTGCACTGCATTTTTAATGAAGAAAATTTATTCGCCATGAAGTGTTGGAGTGGCAAATGAATCTCATGTTTAACCTTCTAAGAAGGCTAGCTTTAACTGGAGTTTTGTTATTGTTGTCTCCAAAGGCCTCAATGTGGCCACTGTTAGTAAAATACGTCGTCATGGATTGGTTGCATCTGTGCCTTCGATGTCAGTTATTGTCTGATGCAGCACTTGGTTGTGCGTGTGTGAAAGAAAAAGCAGTTCTTCACTTGTGGAATAATGAAGCAAAACATTTGAGATAAATGATTTAAGCCATTTATGTGAGCTGTAGAGAAGGCATATTCCCCTGACAAAACGGGAGTCATCAATTCCTGTTCTGGCTTGCTGTGATCTTGAGTAACTCATGCCGGCATTATCAAAAGAATTCAGTTGTCGAGTGCATTGAATGAGATGAGCACTTTCATCTCTTTCTTGTATTTCTTTCTTATATGTGGAATGAGTATCAATAGAAACGTAGAGTATCCTGAGTTGGAAGGTCCCTTTCCGTGGCACTGTTGGTCAGCATCTTGTCCCCCACTCTGTATGTACATCTGGAGTTGCCCATTCCCAGGTGCAGATTCCAGCAATTGCCCTTGGATCTGCTTCATTCAGTTGGTGATTGCCCAGCCCTCTGATTTGTCTAGGTATCTCTGCATGGCCCCTCTCCTTTGGTAGTATGATAAGCAATGTAACCTGAACAGGTACTGTTAGGGGGAAGAAACCCTTGTTAATAAAACAGTGTATTAGTAATGATAATGTTGTTGCTGAGCTTTCATGAAGGTGCACGTTGATATTGTGCAGTTGGAAGGCAGGTTTTGTTTGAGGAGCATTTCAATAATTTTTGTCAGCTGTGAATTACTGCAACTCGCATGTATGAGAAGGCAGTTCAAAATGAACAGATAAGCATAGCCAATATGCTTCTGACTATTCCCGTTGTTTGTAAAGTGTTTGTAATACAGCTGAGATTGCATTTGAGTGCCTAAGTAGTCCTCTGTCAAGGGAGGTTAAGTGACAATATATTGTAGCTGAGGACTTGAGGTGTGCACAGTACTGGAATTCGTTACCTGTGCAGTTGTACATGTGTGTACATGTGCATGTTTCCCTAGCATTAAAGAAATACAGCATTCCATATAGGAGAACAACTTATTGCCCTCGGACCTGAGCCTTCCTGCTCTAGCTTCTATACCTTCCCTTCTCCCCTCTATCATTTAACAACTTGAGTAATCTCTTAGTTTCACCTCTGTTCAAGTTGCTATGCAACATTTGACAACAGCTTAAGCTGTAGTTGGAGACCTGCTTGATCTAGGTTCCGTTCTTTGGCCTGAAACATACCAGGGTTACTACTTCTTACAGCAACGTTCACCCCACAGTACAATGAAGTACAAGGAATGTAAGCGACAGACTTTAGCTGTATAATTGTGTTGCATGAACTCCTATGTTGATTTCAAACTTACACCTAAAATTGTTTTAGGGAGCCGGTCTATCTGTGTTTAGGAAATACATTTACAAATACATAAGATTAAAGCTTTCATTTGTGGAGGAGAAGTGATCCTTCATTCTGTCAAAGGTGCAATAGCAGTACAGTACCATGAACTCCTTATCTTGCCCTACACAGGCAACAAAAAACCTGTAGCTTGTTCAGTGGCCAGTGGGCCTACAAAATATGCATAATTTTGCTTATATTTTACTTCTCTTGGACCTGCAGTTCTTGTGAGGAGAGGCACTTGTAATTGGTTTGTAATTCTGCATACAAACATTCTGCATACAATCCTGCTTCTCAGTGAAGGTGTTCTCTGAAATTCCCGTCACAGTGCAGACACTAGTTTTAACTGGATCTGTAGGAATCTGTAGGACCTTAATTATTGTAGAGACTGTTGTGAAGTTGTGCCACCTCGTCGAAAGATATAGGAGAGAGGGAGAAACGCATTGTGATCATACAAGCTTTTTCCATAGGAAGAAGAAACCTGACCAAAACAGTTAGGTCTTAGAGATAATGTTGTATAAGATGCTTTGTTTGTCTGGTGCTTGAAATGCATTTTTAAGTGCCACTTCAAAGCTGAGGAGCAGTCAGTGGTGCAATGCCTCTGTCCCTCTGGATCAGGAGGAAATCGTTTGTTGTAACAGGTAGTGTTTTCTGCTTATCTAGCTGGTTATCATAGCTTCTTTTATTAATGTGCTTTGAGAAGCCTTTTAGGATTTTCAGATGCATCCTTTTTTAAAATTGATCCTTCCTAGTTTCTGTTGTTGCTTTTGATCTCTTGGTCTATATTCGCAATTGGCTTTTGTTTCTCTTTTCCTTCTCCTCTACAGGTTCAGCCTGGGTTTATTCGCCTCTCTCCTGTTGGGTTTTTTTTTTCTTACTACATTTTCTCTAGTTTACCTAGCTCTTGCCACTTCTCTCCTCTCCACTCAGCAAACCTTGCTAAGATGGCTGGCTGTTGGCTTGGCTAAACCACTCATGTCATTGCAGCCCTAGTTACTCCTTGTGGTAGTTCAACAAAACAAAAGGACTTATGAGAGTCAGAGTGCACAGAGATGCTGTTCAGCCAGTATGTTCTGCCAGTAGTAGCTTCCACAAGAAATGTGAGGAAAATGTAATAGCTGCACTCCACGCATACGCAATAGCATGAAGCTTTACTTGGTCACTTCTGGTTTTTTTCAGGAAGGTTTCATTCACAGGATTGTGGAATTTTCATTGTGTTGAAAGCCCATCTTTCAGTTTGGGAAGCTATGTAAATCTGGAAGAGGAGAGATTTCAGGGAGGGAATGAAAAATATTTATGCTGTTTTCTGCACCAGTTAAGTGCGAAGGAAGAAGCTGATGTAGTATTTGTGACCTGTTATGTAATGTCTCTGTAGTGGTTAATGTATTACCAATTTTCTAAAGTCTCTATGTTTCCATCTGGATAAATATCTGCTGTGTAATCTTTCCCTGTTTTTATATAAGTGGATTTCAGTCTTCTGAACATGACCATTCAAAAAATACTGGAAAGGCTTTCTCCTCAAGTTGTCTTCTGAAGGCAGAGGAGGAGCAGGAAGGCTCCTCTATCACTGTCTGACGAGTTGTCAGTATGTGTTACTGTAACCTGTCTCTGTGCTTAACTCAGACAATTATATTTACATTTTTCAAATGCTGACAAGTCTTCTTAAGGGAAGACATGTCAATTTAAGACATGTCAGTATAAGGTGAAATATTTCTTCTGGGAGGCTCTAACACAAAATGCTTAGTTTCCAACTTAAGACCTTAGTCTGTCCAAAGCTACCTCTCAGATTTGACCAATTATTGTTAACGCTTTTCTTCAAAATCCTACTTCTAAACTATAGCTCCTTTTTTTCCCTTTTTCCTTCCCAGAGAAACAGACTAAATTCTGTAGCTGCAAGAGGACGATGTTGCAGAAGAGTCTGTAAAAGAGATTATTCTTGCTTATTTTTTGCCATCCTTTTCCCTTTCTGTTGATGGCATGAAGGGGATTGGGTTAGTGATAACCCACTGCAGTAGGTGAGCAAGGATTTGGAATCTTCCTCACCCTCGAAGGGTTTGGTGCTAGTAAAACAGGAAGAAAATGGCAAGGTAGTAGGAACAACCTCTGCTGTGTTAATTTACTTGGGGATTAACCATGCTTTCATGTCCTCAGAAAGCTGATGTACTGATTATACTATTGGGATTGTAGCAGTGCATACATTGCTGGATGTACCTGTTGGACCTTGTCATGTTTTTTGGATGGCAGAGGGCTGCAAGTGCCTGTATGTGGTGCTTTGCTAAAAACAATAGTTTTGGTAGTCAGGCTTTGTACAGTTAATTGAAAGATATGCTTTTTGTAAACTACCAGGCAGTTCTGAAAGGAGCATACACCTGAGGAAATGGTGATTCATCTGGGAGTTTGAAATTTTTTTCAAGTCAGCCTGATTGACGGAGATACAGCAAATGTTTCTGAAAAATTCAAACCTCTGTGTACTAATTCCATCATTCTACCGGTCTATAGTAGAGAAACCATCCCCTTGGACAGGATTTGCATACATGTCAGCGCAGTATTTGGAAGAATCTGAGTTGGTGTTGCAGGAGGTGGTTTCTCAGCTCAGCCTACCTTTGTGTTTATGTGTTACATGGACTTGAATTGTGTAATGAGATTGTCATGCAGTCAACCAGGAGAAGGCAGAGGTGCCTTCCAAGCTCCTTAACAACCTGCTTTTGGTCACTGTCTGGAGTTGACAGGCTAGTGCCATTTTCTTCAAAGAGCTCATGTTCAGTACTGTGGGGATTTAAACTGACTGAGACCTTGAAGGAAAAGATTGTATATTGGAGCCAGTAATACTCACTGTAATGTTACAGAAATCTGAATTGCATAAGGAAAATACTGTTTTTACGTAATACAATAGTTAACCTTCCTGAGGTTCTCCACCATATACTGGAATGTTGTGTTGTGTTCCCCCTCCAGCAATAAAGACTTCAAATTTTTTTTGCATTGATACCAATTTAATGAATTTATTTATTTTAAATTGCATTTATTAGAATTAGGAATTTATTAGTATTAGGTGATGAATACATGAATGGCAGTTCTTCTTCCCTTTATGTATTTTACTTTTCTTGGGGGAGAATCCTGCATATTTTCCATTTCCAGAACAAGCCTTGACTGCAGAGCCTGTGTAAACATTGTGAGTACTTATTTGTTCCACCTGGTATTGAAGTCCCTGGTGGTTCTGCTTTGGCAGTCCGAAATGCTGAAAAAAATTAAAATAAATAAAGATTTGCTATCCCTAAACTGGAGGGTTTATGGAGGCAAGAATGATTTGCTTGCGATACTCATGTTGGGTCGTGTACTGGTGTCCTACTCAGTGTGTGCAGTTTTGCAGTGGTGCCACATAGAACTATTTTCGCAGATTTACTCATGTAGTTTGCTTGTGCATTTAAAACATTGTGTTTTGTGCTAAATACATGTTTTTCTCTGTTTCAGTGTGCAAGGATCCACCCTACAAAGTTGAAGAATCTGGATATGCTGGTTTCATTTTACCAATTGAGGTTTACTTCAAAAACAAGGTATGGAATATTATGCTTTTCATAAAAAAAAATTGAAAAAATCATGTAGAAGTGAGGTTTTTCAAAGACTAAAATTTTAATTTGTAAACCCAGTTGAAAGTTAGATTTAAAGCTGTTTTTGTCAATGCTGTTCCTCAATTCAATATTGCTGTAACTTTTATAAATGCATGGCTGTATTTCACAGAATCACAGAATTGGTCAGATTGGAAGGGGCCACAATGGGTCATCTGGTCCAGCCTCCCTGCTCAAGCAGGGTCATCCTAGAGCAGATAGCACAGGGTTTGTCCAGATGGTTATTGAATATCTCCAGTGAGAGAGACTCCACAACCTCTCTACTCTAGGCAATCTCTTCCAGTGCTCAGTCACCCACACAATAAAGAAGTTCTTGCTCATGTTCAGGTGGAACTTCCTGTGCATCAGTTTCTGCCCATTGCCTCATGTTCTATTGCAGCCTGACTCCATCTGCTTGGCACTCTCCCTTCAGATGCTTAGATATTTATAAGGTTCCCCTCTCAGCCTAAGGCCTAGCTCCTTCAGCCTTTCCTCATAAGAGAGATGCTTCAGTCCCTTAATCATCTTTGGCACCCTCCCTTGGACCCACTCCAGGAGCTCCATGTCTCTATTTTCCTGAGGAGCCCAGAACTGGACACAGCTCTCCAGATGTGGCCTCACCAGGATTGTGTAGAGGAGCAGGATCACCTCCCTTGACCTGCTGACATTGCTCTTCCTAAAGTACCCCAAGATACCATTGGCCTTCTTGTCCACAAGGGCACACTGTTGACTCATGGACAGTTTGTTGTCCAGCAGGACCCCCAGGTCTTTCTCTGCAGAGCTGTCTTCCAGCAGGTCAACATCCAGCCTGTGCTGGTGCCTGGGATTTTTCTTCCCCAGGTGCATGACCCTGGATTTGTCTTTGCTGAATTTCAGGCAGTTCCCCTCTGCCGGTCTCTCCAGCCAGGACCTTCACAGGTCCTTCTGAAGGGCAGCACAGCCCTCTAAGGTACTGGCCACCCCTCCCAGCTTTGTGTCATCGAAGAACTTGCTGAGGAGGCACTCTGCCCCTTCATCTGTGAATACTTGAAACAATACTGGGCCCAGTATTGACCCTTGGAGGACAGTGTTTAGTAGATAGCGGGGAAATTGAAATTGCCTGATAAAAGAAAGAAGTTGAATGTAATTATTCAGAAGATTTACTGGCCCTGCTCAAAAGTGGGCAGACTTTAAATAATGCTTATGGAAGTTTAAGTGCCACATACACTTTAAGAAAGTAAACCAATCTTGATTATGTTGATTACATAATGAACTAATTGTTCTATTTTAGTATTGTCAATCTTTATAATCTGTTCAGGTTTTGATCTTTCTATTTGTCTTACATCTTCTGTCTGTTAAAAGATTCTTTCAGACTGCATGTGAGCACACAACTCAGCATTACTGGGGCTCAAGTTAAAACCAAACCCAATTCCATTCTGCAAAGTTTATGTTATTATGGTACCTTGAATTCTAAGTAAACCCTGCACCTACTGTGAATCTCTTAAACATAAAATGCAGAGGTTTTCTTTAATGTATATAGCAGGGTCTGTATTATTAATTACTAGCTCAGATAAAAAGAATTGGATTTGGGTGAAATTAAACAGTAGAAAGCTTGAAAGGTTTAATGTAGAGTACCTTAATATCTGGAACTGTTTAGGTTCCCTTTATATATTTTGTGCCTTGATGGAGCTGTTAGGATACTTAGCATGTGCTTCTAAGATATTAATTTGTTTATTTTATATTACCAAGATGTAGTTGAACATGATTATTTTAATCAAGTCAGCATCACATCTTTAATGTGTTGAATGCTTGATGAAAGACTAAAACTGAAAAAAGAGAAATGTGTAGTAAGATACTTTTTCTGGAGCCTTGATGACTTAAACTTTGTTTGACTTAGCTGTGTATGCTTTCAAGCATATATTCCAGTACACCTTTGTTTTTCACAGAAAGCTCTGTTAAGGTGTGAGGTGTGGATAATTCTGTTCAGGCACATTGTAAGTTGTAGGTTTTGAACACTTAATTCTGAAATGTTCCCTGTATCAATCTGTGTAGAGCAGGTCTGTCTACCCTGTTTGCTGCTGGAAATGGAAACAGAACTGCCTCAATGAGCCGATCAGCTTTTTAGCACTGTCTCCATTAGAGAAGAGGTTTTGATTGATTCAGGAAAGCTAATGGAAAGCAGCCCATTCTCTTTAACTCCTCTGTTAAGTGCTCAACCTAGAAGTGTGCAAAGTCAGAAGACAGTGAGTCAATCATTGAGGCATCTCTACAGAAAGCTTCCTGCCCAACATTTCTTTTTTTGTTTTTCACTCAGACTTTTGGCTGCCTTTGCTGACTGTGGAGACCTGCAAGTCTCAGGAGTTCTCCAACAGGAATTGTGGCTTAGACTGAGATCAAGAGGGCAGCAGTGCTTACAGCTCACCTCACCCTCAAGCAGCATGTGGAATTAGGAAGTTTGCAAACATCCCTCACCCCTATTTTGGTGTCATGGAATACAACAAGCAGCAGTTGGACTGTGAGTTAGCTAGCTCTTCACACAGCTGCAGCAGCATGCCTGTCCCCGGGGTGGGTGCAATACAAAGGAAGAGTGGCACAAAAATTGAGCTTGCAAATTACTGCTTTCTCCTGGCTCAGCTACTCTTCCTTCCCTAAGCCATTTCACAGATATTCCAGTACAGAAAAATAGGAGATAGACAGAAGGAGGAAGAGGAGACACACCATCATCATTTATTCAGGGTAGACATCTTTTCGATTTCTGATTCAGAAAATACCCTAATGAATAGAGAAAGCAGGGGTAGAGGAAGCCACCTGGACCATGGAGAATGAAAGGGTGCCTGTTCCCAGGACTAAACAGAAATTGGTAGAAAACTTAGTAGCTATTTCACCATGATGGAAAATATTTCGAGCTTAAAAGAGTTAGGGAAATAACAGCCACCCACCCCCAAATTCAGCAGTAGAAGGCTATAGTTGTTAGCTTTTGACACAAAGTCCTTAACAAATGCTTTTAGGTCAAAAGACTCCTCTGGAAAATGCAGTCCATTTAGGATAAGGTTCATAAACTGCAGCATATTTTGTCTTCACTGTCACACTGTTTTTAAATACTGGTAGTGGTACTAAGGGTCTTTTTTGTAGTAAAAATCTGCTTTTAAATCACTGGTTATATTCACCTGGCTTTCTACAGAATTATTTGAAGATTCCCATTTGCTAATTCTTACAACTTTGCTTTTATGGCAAAGCTGCTGGTACCAACTGTTTGCCTATAGCAACATCACGGTCTTCTAAGCAGACCAGGGAATATATCACTTCCACTTTTTTTCTGCAAGAAATCATGTGTTAATATTTCTAACTGTAAGAAATATCATCATCCATGGTTGCCTTTGAAAGTGATCTGTCAGGAAAATAGTTCATCTGAGAGAACTGCTCTCTTTTGTCTTCAGAAGCAGACAACTGCAAGTCCCCACTGGAAGTTTCCACTCCAAGCCTGGAGATGGGACAATGAGGATGACCCTTGGCTGTGTTTGAAGCCTCTAATTTGAGCCTCTGATTTAACTTTTAGTATAACTTGAGATTTCTATGCTTTATGTTCTTCCCATCCTTGGAATCCTGAATTTTTTTAAGCATCTGTCACTGAACAGAGCGTGCATTTTGATTATATGCAGTGTTGGATGTGTGCTAAGATTTTGCTGCATCTCTTCCTCATCTTTCCTCGTGGTCCCCTTAGTAAAGCTTTTCCTCAATTTGACTTTTTATTTACGTTCTGCCGTAAGACTGACCTTGGTTTGGTGACTTTTGTTACACATCAAGACCTTTGGAGGAAGGGTTGCTTAATAGTGCTTAAAAGTCACTTAACTTACATACAGCTTCTAGAAGGGACCATGTTAATGTATAATACAAAACATAGTTTGTAATACCAGAGAAAAGATATTGAAGTCTGTTTGATGCCACTAATGTCCATTATCAGCTGAGGCTTTCTCAGGGCAGTAGAGCACTGGTGATTCCTTCCAAGATATATTTACCTTTCTTGTTCTTTCTCTCTCCAAATTGGTACAGGGAACATTCAGTTTTATTTTTTCACTACAGTGGCAGATAATTTTAATTGCTTGTAAGCTGTGATGAAACACTTGAAATCTATCTGGCCACACTTGTTCAAGGCAATGAAGTTTCATTAATAAACGAGCAGACCCCATGAATAGGTGATCAGATATAATTGGCTGCAGCAGGTTCATAGTTACCCCTTTCTGCAACCTGTGAAGAAAGCAATCGTTTGGCTTCAGTGGAGGAATTTGCATTCAAAACTTACTGCAGTGTCTTCAGTACTCTCTGGGGCTCAGAAGTGTGATTGTGTTGGTGACTGAGTTACCTTGTGTCAGCTGAATCATGACACTTGCGTATGCGCATATCTGTAAGCCTGTGCCAAACATGACATGACAGCGTCAATTAAGCCTTGTCAGGACATCATGAAGTTCATGCATTTTACCATGTGTTGTCATGGGCTGATAGGAACTTTTCTGATTTACTATAGCTCAGCTGACACTTTGAAAGTTTCATCGTGTGTGCCCGAGAACACAGAGAATGATTAAAAATAACATAATTTTCATTTTAATTCACAGTCTTTATGTAGCCCTTGTTTTCAACTTAGTTAGTTTTGGTGCTAGATGTTTCTATCTGGTTATTTTTAACCCTCAGGAAGAACCTAAGAAAGTTCGATTTGACTATGACTTATTCCTGCACCTTGAAGGCCACCCACCTGTAAATCACCTTCGCTGTGAAAAGCTCACATTCAACAACCCGACAGAGGAATTCAGAAGAAAGCTGCTAAAGGCAGGAGGGGTGAGTCCTGCACCCGTGTCAAAAGCCATCACAATAAAGATATTGCTGCTTATTGCTGGTGCATGATTAGTATAATAAAAAAGATTGAGCTGATAGTAAAACAAAATGAAGTGTTTCTGTGATTAACATCATATGAAAGCTCAGTACTTGTCTTTAGGTAGAATGGGTGAACAAATGAACATGTGCCTACCTTTGTCTTCAGAACTAATTGATTGACTTCTGCAAAAGCAGATCTTGGACCTTATCCAAGAAGCATTGCTTGCTTGGCCTTCCAGAGGTGAAATACAGGAGTGCTACTGTGTTGGGAGGATGTAATAAGAAAATAAGATGTCATTCATTGAAAGAGAAATGGTTATGTATTAAGCAGAACAAATTCAGTAGTTTTGAGGTAGAACAAGTTAGAAACTGTAAATATAAATAAACCTACTCATATTTATATAACACATGTTATGCAATCTGAACCAAAAAAATCTACTGACTTGTTAACATGTTACCTGTAGAATTAATTGATGCGAAAAAGCACAAAGAAAGTTTGCCCATTTTGGAAGGAAGAGAGGGCCAAACATTTAGGTTTATACTTTGTCTGTTAGTGGAAACTGTTCTGCTGTGTTTCACACAATGGCAGAATAGTTCATGCTTTCAGGTACCACCAGAGGCTCGGCCATGGGGTCAGATCAGGCTGCTCAGGATTTCACCAGTCCTTGGTCAGGTGTGAGACCTCCCCTGGCCAAAGGTGGCCGGAATCTCCCTGGGCCTGGCTCCACCTCTGGTCTGTCTTCATAGGCCGGAGCCTCTCAGGCTTGGGCTGCTGCCTCTTGCCCTCCTGCCCACTGTGAAGAGCCTGACTATGTCTCCTCCATTCCCTCCCATCAGTGCCTCTGAAGCTATCCCTCCTCCAAGCTGAACCAGCACTAGAACCGTAGGCACTCCTAGCTGCACAAGTTCTTCCGCCCCACTGTCTCAGTAGCCTCCTCTCGCCTCTCACTATTATGATGTTGGCTTTTCTGGTTTGGGGATCCAGCTGTAGGCAGTGCCTAGATAGGGTCTGACAAGCACAAAGGGTACAGTCCCTATTCTTTCCTGTCCCACAGGGCTGTGACCTGCTCACAGAACTCATGGTACCAATAGCCGTTGTTGCTGCCTAGGTGCATGGGTGGCCCTGGCTCAGCTCACACCACTCCCATGCCCAGGGCCTTTTAGTGTGTTTGCAAATAAAACATAAATATTATATTCTGGAACACTTCATGAGCCACTGCTTTAATATTAATTGTATCAGGTCAGTTGTCAATGGATAAGTTTTGCCCACAAGTGTAATTAATCTAAATGATGGCAACAGGCACTTTGGGGCTGGATAGTGATGGTTAAAAAGATTAAAATAGGAAGTGTCCTTTTCGTTGCTTACTTTCTATGTCTTTTAATTTTAGGTTTCTTGAGTTAACGAAAGCAAAGATGTTGCCTAATTGTAAATAAAATGTGACATGTTTTGATCAAATTCTTTCCCTGAATGGATCAGTGTGGCCAGTCTGAAAATGCATTGCGCCATTGCCTTTTGTCTCCTGAATGGTACAAACTGCTCAAACTGCATGGCTGCTTTGTTTTTTTTTTAAAATTATGATTCTTCATTTTCCCAGTTTCTCTCCAAGAAACAAGTACCTCCATAGATTCTCTGATCTAGGAGTTTGTCTGATCAGCTTGCCAGAGATAATGTCATAGCATTCTGTCTGTCCTGTTGCTAAAAGTCTGTGAAGAGCTTACATCTTCTGATGTTGAAAAGCTGATTACACTTTATGAAATACAGTAAACAGGCTTTTCTCTGACTCTTGTAGAAGCCCTGGGAAGCTGGCTCTTGCTTCCTAGTCAGTAGAACAGACAGTGGAATGAATTCACAAAAAACAAGTGAGTTCTATGCTTTAGGCTGAGAAAAGCATTTACAGGATGATGAAGTACAAGATGGGTTTTGTGCTTAGCTGGATGTCAAAACAGTTAATACTTCTAGCTTATTATATTACTTTTCTTCAAGAAAAAGCAGCATTAACAAGTCACTGAAGTTTGACAGGCAAAAGGTGTGGCAAAATGAAGCTCATGTCCTTCAGAATAAGCGAAGTATTATTAGTGTAAAATGCTGAGTGGTAGCTTCAAGAAAAGTCCTTTGATATGGTAGAGTTTTGCTTACATGCTTTTAAACAATAGTCTAAATTGCTTGATATTTGTGCCCCTGGAAACCCAGATCTCTGATTAGTGTTTCTCCAAGTGAAAGTCACGAGATGCATTGTTCCAGTGAACTACTAAACATGATTATTTCTCATTTGCATGGATGTGCATATCACAAATAGTATGTCTTTCTGGAGGGAAAAGTGCAGGCTTACCTGGTACCTGCATGCTGCCATATTCAGTATAAACTTGCCTATGTGTTTGTCTCTTGCTCCAGATTCCTTGAATTATCATTTGGATGCTCTCAACTCCCCTTTTCCCTCACGTGTACATCTTGAGGCATCCCAAATGTAGACTAGTCAAGGTTGCAGCCACTGTTCTGCCTTGCAGGCTAAGAAAGTTCTGCTACCTTTCCCTATCCTTCATTTGCCCTAAGGTCTGACTGGCTATTCTCCAGTTCACTGGGGGAGAATAAGAGTAATATTGGCATATCCCAAGTAGTTAAAGAAGTGAGAACACAACTACAGTACAGCTTTGCAGTACCACTGTGGCCACTTTAGTTGAGGCAAACAGGACATTTAGGGTGATGTCAGTAATGTAGATTAACTCTGTGGAGTGTTTATATCTTAGCATTTTATTTGATATCACCAGACTTAAAGCATAAATGTGCAGTCAATCTTCATTAGTAGAAGGTCACCAACTTGCTGATTTCTCTTCCAATCTGGCAATTACATTTCAGCCCTTAGCAGAAGGCTTTGATTTAGCTTCAGACATTGTATTTCTGTAGTCAGGAAGGTAAGTAGGAACCTCTGGTTCGGTGGTACAAGGCTATATCCAGTTTACCAAGTCCTTGGTCAAAGATTTCCACCTTCAGAAATATATTTTCTACACTAAAGGTCTACCCACCCCTTGAAAAGATTAGTTTGCTCGAGTCCATCTCTGCCATTCACCTACTTTCAGTTGACCTTGTTCTCATAAATGTAAAAAGAAATGTTTGCAGAAGAAATAAAACATTTTCAAGAGTACACTGGGCAAATTCAACCAAACCATGCACTGTAATTTGCTTCATTTCTTTGTATATATATTCTAAATGACATTTCTTTTAGAAAGGTTTGCAGTGGAAATGGTACCACTGAGATTTTTTTGCACCATTTACTCAGTGTAGTACCTAATGATCTGAAGCTGACATGTACACATGTATACTCATGTGAATTGTCAGCCTGTTGCTTGAAATCCCCAAGGACATCCTGTGTACAAATGATGACTTTTAGTTAATCCATGTCTTACCAAGCAAATCAGCAAGCTACTCTCTGGTGATAGAAATATACAAACACAGTCTTCCTCACAGCTCGTCCTCTAGGCACAGCATGAAATGATGCTTGAGTAAGTACAGTGGGATTGAAGTAAACACCAGTAAGTGTTGATCCTTACGTGGTCATTCCTTCCTATATTTTTCACTTACCTTTATGATTAGTTTCAGCCTCCAAAGATGAAAGAACCTGAGGAGGGAGAGGTGGCACTGTGATTCCTACATATGGATATGGGAAGAAGGATGACATTGACTGGGAAATCATAGTAATTAAAAAATAAGTGTCGAATTTGAAGTAGTTTTGAATATTAAATTCTAGTAAAAATGTTTATAAATGGTGTCTGATTCCACTGATGTATTTTGTGTTGTCAGTAGCACTGGTTCAATTGCTTTTTTCACTTACATGTTTATCAGTTTTAAGGAAAAATTGAAAATCACACCTAATTACTAAATGAGCTAATAGAAATAAATTAATTTTGAATGCTGAATGACAACTACTTAACATTTTAAAATTTAATTTTTCCCCAGATATAAAAGATATGCTCAG